AATCACTCATTTATATGGAGCAGTCTTTTGATTCTGTTCACCATATTTGAATATTAAAACTAATAAACGTCACTTGTTAATTTACTGCTATCTGTCGATTAGTTAAGGGGGAGATGGTTGCATCTCACCACATTTTATTCATGTTTTACACTGGCATTTTTGCCTGCACTGAAAATGCTGTGGTTGAAGGAGCTTTTTCTCTCTGACTTAAACCTTGATGAAAATCCCTGCCGGTTTTGGTTCTAAGTTTTCCTAAGTGCTCTCACCCAGGAATCTGAGGATGGGGTGGCAGCAATCCTCAGACATATTTTCTGCTGGAAGATGTCCTCAAGTATAGTTTGTGCTGTTTTACTTAATTCTATAGGCCTTCCTGCCTCTGAGCAGAACGTGAACGCTGCCCTTGGCTTTCCAAACCCTGCAAGTACCATTCCCTGCTTTGATTAATTAGTGTTTTGTTCCCAGATTTGTCAAGTTCAGCTGTTTTGGTGCTTTTTTTTTTTTTGCAGAGATCATGCTTTATAAGCAATTCTTTTGCTATGTGTGTGATATCTCGACTGTAAGTAGCACTGAGGACACTGTGCCTGCCCACTCTGACTTTTCTTTGGAGTGAACTCAAGCATATGAGAATCCGCACGTTTCCAGAGCCATCAGGCCAGGATGCTTCATGCTCTGCCCTTATCATCGTTGAACTCATTTCATTTGTTTTGTTAGTTTTTTAACTTCCTGGTTTTCCTGGAAACACTGCAGACAATTAACTTGTCAAGGCGGGTGGGGATGATTTATGGTGCCTATAAAATTTGCACATCATATTCCTTGACATGAAATATGGGCTGTTTGTGTTGGTATAGCAGTACTTGCTCCAACATCTTTTTGTGAGCTGTGTCAGGAGCAAGGATTCAATAGTTCAATTCTTTCTTAGCTCTTTCATTCAAGGAAAGGAAAAAGATCTACAGCAAGTGCAATGGAAATGTCAGGCTGGGAGGGGGGTGGGTTTGGTAACTTTAGTTGAGAAATGTTTTCATGAGAAGTTTTTATCTCATTAAGGATTAATAGATGCTTCTGATACATGACAGAAGCTGCTCTGTGATCTGAATTCTCCCAGGCTAGTTAGATGGTGTCAGTCCATTTTCCATAGCTCTTGCTCACTCCCGAAGGGCAGATGCTTTCATGACCAGCACAAGCCATCACGGTGCTGCCAGTGATACTAGTAATGGTGGATGTAAAGCTGGACTCAAACTCTGGGGTGCAGCCCTACCAAAACAGGCTTGTTAAAATGAAATAGAAACCCAAGTTCATTTCCTTCTTTGCATTTTCTTGTAGAAAGCAGGGAAGCTGCTCACTGCCTGTCTAGCTGCAGAGTGTGCATATGTGATGTCTGTATAGCTTCAATTTATGTTCAATAGCTCCACCGGAGCCAGAACACCCATCAAGTATGACAAAGCAAGAACAATCTCATCCTCTACTACAGTCAAAACAAAGCCATGACGCTCTTTTCTTGCCCTTTGGTGATAATAGAAAGGGGAAATAATTTAAATGGATGCATTTAAAACAGGTACTGTGGTGTGTGTGTAGTTTATGGTACAGAGCAGCCAATACTCCAGTATTTAAGTTACAGAAGTAATACAAATAATTAAACTATAACCATCATTCAGAGGGGCACTGTCCCACCATGGGAAGTTGAAGCTTCTTTTAAATGGAGTTTAAACTGAGGTTCATTCTATAAACAGTTTCTGCACATGGGTCAGGTTCCTGGCATGCAAGTATCTGACTCCCACACTCTGGATGGAGCCCAAGAGCTCAGTGTTAATCCCCAGGGCCCTCCTTGGGGCTGGCAGAACACAGTTCTGTGAACAGCCATCCATTGACATCGATGACCTCTTGTATCAGGTATGTTCCTCAAGAGCTATCAAGGCCAGGGGAGAAAGGGTCCCTGTGCAATGGGGCCAAGGATCTCATTGCAGGGAGAGGGGGGGCAATTCTCCTATCTTTGGGACTGTCTGGAAATCATTTCCACAACAAAACTAAGGACAAAAAAGAGGTGATGGCCACAAGGAAGTGGGAGTGGAATAGGGTCAGGAGCTCCTTGTCCCGTGTGTGGCCGGGGCCAGGTTGTTGCTGCTGCAGATCCAGGCGCTGCAGATGGATGCTGTGCCGAGAGCTCAGCTAGCTGCGTGCTAAGCAGGCAGTTCTGTTCTTCAGAGTTGTGAGTCTGGCACCTTTTCTGCACATTAGATTCACACCACAGAGCATTTCACAATAAGGGAAGCAGATTCTCTCCACGCCTTGTGCCTAACAGCAGATCTTGCTCTTACATAAACAAAACTCTCCATGCCTCCTCTTGCTCTGGGATTTAACACTTGGGCTTTGCAGTGTGGTGGGCAGATACCAGCAAGAGAAATCTCACAGTACTGTGTGGCATGTGATGCCCTGGGGCACCCTGGTGTGTGAGCCCCAAGGAAGGGATGGGCATGGATGTTGGCTTATGGAGTGGCAAATGGCATGTACCCACTGGAGCCATGACCGAAGGTGTCCATGGGTTTGGTAGTGGCAGGACCAAGGCTTAGGGTTTTATAGTGTCTGGTGGTAGTTACTTGTTCTGTGAATTTATTTGCCTCTCTTCTTCTCTCTAATGCTTTTCCCACTTGGTTCTTTGTGTCCCAAGCCTGTGTGTGATCCTGTTGGTTGTGTAGCATCTGGGTTCCCATCCCTATTTGACTCCTGCCAACAAGGAAGTTTCTTGCACGTTTTCATGCTACTTTCCCAAAGTTTTGCTGGCCATTCCTTGCTGTTAGCTCAGGGAATGAAAACTGACACTGGTTACAGCTCCCCCTCGATGTTCTGTTCTTTTTCTTCCTTTAGAAAGGCCAATTACTTTTATTAACTCTCTCCAAACACTTTACCCTCTCCCTGGCAGACAGATTTCGGTATGGCAGCACAAACCTGCTGCAGGAGCAGTGCCTTTCCCACTGTGAATACCAATGACCAATTTAATGGACAGGTTCCTCATCAGCATTTCTTAATACCTGGGGAAAGAAAATGAAGTCATCCACATGCTTCTCAGTCTTGCAGGGACCATATGAAGTAGTGAGTGATGAAAAAGCCCCAAAGCAGACAGAGGATAAAGCTCAGTGGGTTTAAGAGCTTTAGGAGGCACCAAGCTCTGCCGCCTCTGTTGCTGCCTGTGGGTGTAAGGTCTCACTGCTACAAGCTCTGTGTTTTCTCTGGCTTGTGAGTCGAGTGAGCCCAGAGAGCCTGGAAAACCTCCAGATCCAGGCCAAACCACGGCACCCACTGGGGATCTTTCCATTGCCCTCACTGGGGTTTGGCTGAGGCAGTTCAGCACGGACCCAAGCTGGAGCATGCATGAGATGGGTGAGACCTCCTGGGGTGTGTTTGTCTGAAATACGTGTGCCTTGCTCTCGAGTATCACAACGGAGAGAGCAGCTCCTTGGCTGGGCAGCAAGTTGGTCCATCAGGGTAAGAAGCCACCTAGAAATGACTTCATCCCAGAAGCAGCATTGCACGAGAGGGATGGTGTGGATGAAAAGGTGTGGATGAAGGCCTTCCTGTGGGCTTCCATTGGTCTGCATGGGTGATAACCTTGGACCCATGTCCCCAAGCCTTGCTTATCTCAACGCATTGCATGTCCACGTTGGGGCCATTTTGATGATGATGGCTGAGCTGGGAATGTTTTGCTTAGATCAATCTGCGTTGTGCATGTTTGGATAGATCCCAACCTGGGTTCAGCTGCCGCAGGGGTCACACCAACTCCTTTCTTTTCTGTTGTCACATGTAAAGGATCTCCCTAGAAACTAACCTCTGTTTTCCTGAACAATGGAAATGCAAATGAAGGATGTCAGCTCTGTACCCAAAAATAAGATTTCAAAACCATTTAGCATTTCACAGTGACAGCTTGAAGACTCGCACTTGTCTCTCATGATGAGAGACAGGCAGAGGTCCCCAGCTCACACTCAGATCTGAGCACTAGCGACTGATTTATCCCAAACTTTATAATATATGTGTTATTTGTAGTGCTTTTCAACTTCAAAGAGCTTGAAAACTATTAATGCAAGAGCACAAAAGGCTTCTGTTCTTGCTGCCACTCTATGGGGGGGGGGGAAATGGAGACGTGCCTGAGTCTGGTGGGGAGTTGCTTGGGCTCAGTGTGCCTGCATGGGGTCTGGCTGATGGCAGGGCATGGGCAGCCCCTTGTACCAGCACAGAATTGCTCTGTAGCTTTTTGAACTGCTTGGATATGTCATGATTTCAGATCTCTTCAAATTGATGTTTTTCTGTTCCGAAGTCTGCTTTTCTTCAGGACTGTGGACAGCTGAATGCAGTGGGAAGGATGCTGCAGTCCCCTTCCCTCCTGCTTTTTGAATTATTGGGTGTAAAACTACATGTAAAACATACACTTTTCCTCCTGGTGCTGGAGGACTGTGATGGTGCAAGCGGCTGGGTGAGCACATGGGGTTTAGGGACAGCCATGGCACAGCACCACAGGGGCTCTGCAGCACAACCGGCCCTGCAGCATCCCAGCAGCAGTGCCTCGGGGGTACATTTTTTCAGGCATGCATAGAGAGCCATGCACTTCTGTAGTGTTTTCATTGCACCCTCCTGGGTGTTTCAGCCTAAATCCTTCTTTCTTGGTGGCTACCTTGAAGGATTTTACCTCAAATGTGGTTTTAGGTATGTATGCAGTGAGCAAAGCATAGTAGTCTTAAAAAACCCATTCACAAGGAGCAAATGAGAGCTCCATGCAGTAAATACCATCCCGAATCACACTGTCATCCTGGACAGAGCAGAATGATGGGCCAAGTGATTCATCCATCAGTCATTTTTCCAGAAAATCATGCTACTGGAAGATTATGCTTTTTATTAAAGGAAAATATCACTCTTAGTGTTCAGTACTTCCTGGCTCCGCTATCAAAGTTGAAGCAGAACAAAAACCCTATCTTGCAGGGGGTTTGTGCTTAATTCAAAAGAATGGAACTGCAGGGTGTAAGTTGGTAGGAGAAAATTTTATCCCAATGCAAGGCAACGTTTTTGGTTTGGTTTGGGTTTTTTTTAATCCCATATTTTAACAGTTTAATAGAACAGCATAAGGATGCCCAAGTTATTCCGCAGTGGTGAGCTCAGTCTTCTTAGGGAGGAAGAGGAGTACAGCATGAGCAGGGAAACGGACACCCCGCGGAGCTGCAATTTCCCACTGTCTATTTCTAAGTGAGGTGTCTAAGCCCAGTATTCCTCATGGATCTGCACCAAACATCATCTCCCTAAGAAAGCTGTCTTCTCTATGTCTCACACAGAGATTTTCTCCCAACTGCATTAGGACGGGGATCCCCAGCTGGTCACAGAGCAATGCCATTCACCCCCCGCTCACCGTGTGCTAACTCCTTTTTCTGCTCTCTTTAAAAAAGAGGGGGGGAGAATAAGGAAACAAAGCAATAATTACATTGACCATGCCTTGGTTCAGTAATGACCTCATTACTGGAGCCCACATTGTACAGCGGGACCCGGATACATTAAAAAATACAAATCTTTTCACAACACTTTCCTTATTTTCCTATGGGTGCTGGGAGCATCAGTGCTCCGGTTCCGCATCCATGCAGGTCTCCCAGGGGTTCTGGGGGAACCGAGGCAGCGCGATCAGGAGGAGGGCAATGCCACAGATGAAAAGCAGGACAAAGGAGGCACAGGCGCAGGCGAAGGACCAGGAGTAACTGTACTCGATCCAGAGCGTCTCCTCGCTGTCGATCATCCTCTTCACGGATTGCCTCATGACTTCAACAGAGATGATGATGCAGAGACCTGAAGGAAGACAGGAGCACGGGGGTGAACGACCAGCTGCAGGTTCTGCATCCGTAATTAACCACTTCATCTATTTGCCTACAGGAGCTGCAGTGAGATTCACAGGTGAGGCATTGAGTGCAGTGTTTGAAGGAGCTCTGCTATCACACAGGCCATCCAAGTGAGCCGATGACTTGTTGAGTGTGATCTTTATCAGTGGTGGAGGAATAACTGCATTCCCTAGGGAGCTTGTCCAAAGGTTGAATAAGATTGTTACTGAGGGCACAGTTTGCACCTCTGTCTTTCACTCATTGTGACATGTCAGGGTATTACTATCTCATGTAAAACTGCAGTCTTCATGGGTTTGGGAGACAGCTGTGTATTTTGGGCCTGAATAGGCTCTTTCTTTGGCATGAGTCTTAATAAATGAGGTGGAATAGTGAACATCCCTCATTTAGACTGGGGCTGGCACTGAATATGCTAGAAATACCCCTTTTAAAGGTAGCTGGAACAGACACGCTGCTGGGTAATGCTTGTTGAGCAGGATGCTCTCAGAGCTCTTCAGCTGGAGCAACACATAGGGACCTGCAGTCTGACTGGCTGGGAAGAAATGCCAGTTTCAGGGTGTTTTAGAAGTGTCTCCATCCTCCCAGGATCTAAATGCCTCTGTTGTCCTATGAACCGAGTGCAAGCGTGGGAGCACCGAGCCTCCTACCTGCGAAGGTGTAGAACATGGATGCTGGCTTCAGCAGATAGTCCCTCTTCTTCCTGAAGGATAGGAGGACGCAGATTGTGCCGATGATCGCAAAGCCAACGCTGAAGATGGCAATGGCTGCAGCTGAAATGCTGTACTCTGCCAAAGCAAAACAAACACCAAACAGTGAGAACGGATGTGAACTCGGAGCATGCTCCCATCAGCTGTGGTGACTGCAGTAGGTCGCTTTGAGAAATAGGTATACCTAGCAAGGTGACTCTGGTGAACTGAGTTTTTCCCTCAAATAAAAGCAGGGGCAAGTGTTGACCATGCATCTGCTGAACGTGAAGGGTACAAAAACAGAGCAGGAGGAGGAATCATAGAATCATAGAATAGTTAGGGTTGGGAAGGACCTTAAGATCATCAAGTTCCAACCCCCCTGCCATGAGCAGGGACACCTCACACTAAACCATATCACCCAAGGCCTCGTCCAACCTGGCCTTGAACACTGCCAGGGATGGAGCATTCGCAACCTCCCTGGGCAACCCATTCCAGTGCCTCAGCACCCTAACAGGAAAGAATTTCCTCCTTATATCCAATCTAAACTTCCCCTGTTTAAGTTTTAACCCATTACCCCTTGTAATCACTTTATGAACACTTACTGAAAGAGCAAATGGCACCACAATTGGGCTGAAGAAGCTCTGGGCTGGAGCTGTTTTAGCTCTGCTGCATAGATGTTACTGTTGAAGCCTTTCTGGACTCTGTGCTTTCGCTTCCTCCATCACCCCACACTCTGCTCGCACAGTAAATAGGCAGCCTCATGCTATTTTTACCCCGTGCCTGTACGGCAGAGCCCTGACGAGGCCCCTGCGCATGGTGCTGATGTTGTGCGATGCAGAAGGACAGCTGTGTCCTCCATGGGCTCAAAGCCTGAGCTGGCAAAGCAGGCAGGAGGCCAGAGGTGAGGTGTTTGCATGGCATTTCTTCTGTTTATTTCTCCCTTAAGCCAATGATTTCCAGGTCTGTGGAACCCAGCTTCTTCAGGGCATAGGATTAAACCCTCCATAAAGCATCTTGGTTTTTGCTAAGCCAGCTAAGATGTGTGCTGGACACTTCCCCCAGCTGACTTCAGTGCCTGAATGGAGGGGACGAATTGCTAATTGAATAATTCAGGCCTTCATTTACATCTTGCTTTCGTTTTCAGATGGATTTAATATTTAACACATGCAGCCATGCGTGAGCATCACAGCCCTGGTGATATTTGCCTTTCAAGCCATTAAAATATAGATCTCCTAGGCAAAATCATGAAGGTTTTGCCTGTTACTAATTAGCTCCCATCAAAACGTAGCTATTTCTGCAGGGGGGGACAGCAGATCACTCTTTGTTCTCCCTGCTTTTCATACCACTGTTTCAGTGTGATTTCCTTCATGTTTCTCTTTCCTAGGTGCTGGAAGTGCCTGAAACAGTTTGTTTCCATGTGAAATCTTTTGCTGGGCTTAGGCTTTTCTTTTTGCTTCAAAGAAAAGGAGTTCTTCCTGACTCTTTTCCTGACATGAGCAAGAAGGCATTGGCTGTGTTTTTAGACCAGATAGCTAGATCTGATAATACACAGAGCAAAAGCAGGTAGTGCCCATATATGCTCTTCTATCCACTTAAAATTCCTATTCCTTCCTGCCTTAGGAAAGTGCTCATTTAGCAAACCCATCTGCAGGGTTTTCCACTGTTATAATCTCTCTGCAAGAAAAGCAGATTGTTTAATAAGTGTCATGCAATCATCTGCTCATGTACTGCACTGTCAAACACGTCGTGTGGCGAGCTAGAGAGGAATTCGTCCTTAATGAGAGCATGAGGAAGAGAGAGAAGTGTGTTAGGCAAGTGCTCTAAATATTGGCTTTATCAGGGACTTATTGGAAATGTGAAATGTATCCAACTTTTCCAAACCCACGCTCTGAGAACACTGATTGTGGCTTTGTAGGATTTCTGTTCCTTCCTTCCACCGATTGCTCTGTTTTTCACATGGCTTCCATATAAAATCAATCCAAAGCGTAACATCCCTGAGGGTCTTCACAGGGTCTCTGTGCTTCTTTTCAGGGTCAGGATGCTGTCTGGGGTATGATTTATTCATTTCGATTTCATTAATGTTTTCTTCCTTCCATGGCAAAGGCTCGGGGATCGTGGATCATGGCTATGTTCTAACATCATTTTGATGCTGGAAAGACTTTCTGCAGTTTTCCTGTGTATTGACAGTGTTATATGTTTGTGGGACAGCTTTCAGTCAAATCACACTTACGAGTGTGAACGTACATAAAAGCTCTTCCCATGAAGCTGGCATTTGAACTCATTCAGAGCATTCTCCACTTTTTTCCAGCTGATGGAATCTGATAGGAATTCCTCTACTGCTTTCAGTGGGACCAGGGTTGAACCCTCACTTTGGGGACCCCTTTACATTAGACCTTATGTACAGCTCAGCTCATACAACGTTAGGGGAATATATTTCAGGCTTATTCTTACCTTTCTGCGTGGTTACTTCAAATATCTCTGAGCTCTGTCCTGGAGTGAAGTGCTTGAAGTAGGAGCAGTTGTGTTCTGGAAGAGAAAAGGAAATGCAATTTTGTGTAAACCTTGGATTAAACGTAGTAAAACTGGATTTGCTTTTTACTGGTGTATCAAACATGCACTGTTCTTACGGTTCCCTACCCTCAGTGATACCAGGAAACTGGAGTTGGATCTGCTGTGTTAAGGAGCAGATGGGTGGCGCACCAAGCCAGGCCACCAGCTCCAGCTTCAACCTCAGCACCTCAATGGGATGGAGGAGGGTCTGGTGAGGACCCGCTGCCTGGAAGCATGAGATGGTGGAGGGTGCTCTCACTATTTATAACCCATTTAACTGAAGGGATGTGGAGCTGGGGGAGCAGTTGCTCGCCAGGAGGTTGGCTGGGAGGTGCAATCGTGCTGAGCAGTGCCAGCTCTGATTGCTCTATTCTGCTGAGCAGGGATGGAGAGGACACAGCGCTGGCCCCAGCATCCCTCCTGCACCCCAGGCTGGGCTTCCTCCTGGTAAACCATGCCAAGACTGCACGAAATACAGGCACTGCCTGCAGCAAGGGCACGCCTGGTGAACATCAGCATCTTTGTCCATTGAATGGTAGAGTCAGCACCAGTTTCCAGGAGATGCTTTGGGGTCCTCTCCAGCATCCAGGCTGGGTCAGGCTGCTCCAGTGTAGGTTGTGGGGTAAATCTGAGCCAGGTCCTGGGTGCAGGACCATGCAGGGTGTGCTACATTTTGCCTGTGGGCACGTGGTGCATTTTGGTGGTTGTTTTCAGCTTTAATTTCTAGTGGCAAGAAGACACCAGCACACTGTATGTTACCTGTTGGGTTCTGTGCTACTTTTCTGTCATGTAAATGGCAGATGTTGGAGTTACTGATTCAAAGAAGATTTATTTTCTCTCTCCCAAGAGACAGGCAATTGCAAAGCAGCAATTTTGGGCCCGTTAAGTGGAAGATTCCTTTGAGATGCTCTTATCTACTTACTTGTAAAAGCTGACTTTATTTAATGTGGAGCTTCTTGCTGGAGACTGGGTTAATGTTCAGCCCTGGCATCTTCTGACCTGCTCTTTATTATCGTTGCAAACAACTGGAGGAAACAGTTGAACTCAGACCTCTATCACTGAAATTGCAGATTCTGAGCCCTAGAGGAAGGCTGCGTGCCTCTGCCAGGGACTAAGTGGTAGCTGAGGCTGAGCATCATGTCTGGTGATCCCGGTTTCGGGATCCTTTGGCTCCTGTGCTAAAGAGGAAGGAATGGGATGAAATGGGGATGCTTTGGTGTTGTTTGGTTTGTCTTTTGATTAATTCTCTGAAAAGCCTGAACTCAAAGGAGGCCCCACATGTGGTGACTGTATGAATCCCAGGGTGACACCATCCGGATGCAGTGTGGCTGAGGGCACAGCACAGCTTTGTGTCCATTGCAGGTGAACCAAACCAATCCCCTCCTCAGTCTGTGAAGGCTCATCAGAGGGGGACACTGCCCATGGTGTCCCTGCCCATGGCAGGGGGTTGGAACTGGATGGTCTTAAGGTCCTTTCCAACCCTAACTGTTCTATGATTCTATGACACACAAACCCTTCTGGAGATGCAGGAAAACGAGCTGCTTCTGTCTTGTGACTTATAGCAAAGCTCTGCCAAGGCACAATAAATAGGGTTATCACAGAAGGGGGCTAGATCTAGGGGAGGTGGTTTTATGTAAATGACATTTATTGTGGGAAAACACAATTAGATTGTTTGGGGTGAAATGATGCATTGTTTAAAGAGGCTTCGGTGCTCTGCTGAGCTGGGAATACCTGTTTCAACAAGGCTCCCTGTTATTCAGGAGAACTGAGGGACTTCAATGCCTCCCTGGTGCCATCATGAATAAGAGAAAAGCCCATTTGTGTCACACCATGTTTGCATAATGGATAGGATTTAAAATGGGTTTTATAATGGATGCAAACTGTGTGGCAATCTTTGCTTCTCTCCACCCCTAACTGCATTATCTTTGCCAGGAGGTCACCTCAGTGTGCTGATGGGAACAGTCAATCAGAACTGTGGTTGAACCCTGGGGGTCTGCAAGAAGGAGACCTCATGGGGGAAGAAAGGGCAGAAAGACCATGAGATGCTGGAGCGATGCACAGCTTCAGGTAGCTGCTGTCATTCATGTGCAGTGCAGTGACAGGTTGGGAAGGGGATGAAGCCACCTTGCACTTGAACATGAGATGGGTTTGTTGCAGGCTGGGTGGGTAAATCCATGTTAAAACCATAGATTTTAATGTGAGGTTTCTACCTGCGTTAAGTTTGGGAGACAGGACCTGCTGCTCTAACTAGAAGAGGTGTTAAGGTGAGGGCTGTGTGGTGGAGAGGGCCAGACCTCAGGCTCTGACCTGGCCAGCAAGCCAGGGGAAGGCCTTTGATACACACCGAGTTATGGAGATGGTGTCTCCACATAGTTTAAACTCACACCAGTATTGCAGAGTGAATCTCTTGTATGGAGGCAGCCCTGCTGAAACCCATCTGCTCAAGCCCTTCTGCTCTGCAATTCCCTGAACTGAGGTTACCGTGTTTACAAGGACCTATTTAACATGCCAGCAGTGCATGCAGGCTGTAGAGCATCCAATGCACCAGAGCCCACTTTGTAGGATAGCAGCTACACCAGAGTTACTAACAGTGACAGTGATCTTGGTTTACAACCAGTAGTAAATAGCCCTGATGCCCACCGGTCACAGTTAAAATGTCCCAGTGTTAACCTGAATTTACCTTGTTTTAGCAGCATCTCTGCAGCAGGATGCTGAACCCCTTCCAGTTTGTCAATATCCCCAGAAGCATGCTGCGAAACTTCAAAGCCCTGCCTAAATCACAGCCCTGCTTTGTGCTCTGCGAGCCAGGGCACCCTCCCCATTTCCACCGTGCTGAGCCCAAACCCTAGTAAATAACGTTAATTGTGCCATCCATTTCCTCCTCGGGGAGCCACTGGTGAATGGTTATTAATGCAGTGATGAATTCTTATGTTTCTTTTGCAGCCCTGGCAGTAATGCCTGGTTATGCCTCACGATCTGCAGGAAGACCAGTGCCCACATCTGCTCTTTAACCGCATGTTCGTTCATTCACATTGTCTCGGCTGCTGCAGGTTTCACAACCCTGGGGTTTCCCTGCTGACATCTCTTCCCAGAAGTGTGAAATCATTCTAACACGAGCAGTGGGGACGCAACATCGTTTAGCAGCCTGGATCCACTGCGGCTGCACTCCCTCCCCTCCCCTCCCCTCCCCTCCCCTTGCTGTGTTCCCTGCCTGAGTAAAACAGGGATTTGTGTATATATATTTATATATATAGATACAAATTTATATCATTATATATTACTTTTTTAAAATAGATTTTAAATATATATTTATATACAAAAATGCATAGATATAGTATATAAATATGTATTTAAATGTATTATCTATATTATATATATAATATAAACATATTATAAATGCAAATTTTGCCCTTTGAAACCTCAGATGTCGATTACAGGATATCACCTAAATCCCCAAATATCCTAAAAACCTGGGAAAAGACCTCTGTGGTGGGATGGGTGGCTCAGCCCCTTCACTGTCCCCCTGGTTATTCGCTGTGCCCAGCAGAACAGCAGCGCTGGGCCGTGATTCAACGCCTGTGCAAGCACATGCTGATGTCTGTCAAAGATAGTGGCTGCTTTCGTGCTGCCCTGCCCTGTGAATCTGGGTTTTGCAGACAGCTGGCTCTTTATGAGGTTTATATTTACCCATGGTTGTGCAATTCCCCTGTTTATGCACCCATTTCTATTGTTTTTCCCCGTTTGTGGGCGCTTTCCTCCGCACGCGACGGGAAGGCGTACAGTGACAAATGGGTTTCTAGGCACGTTAGGTACCTTCGCGTGAGACATTAAGCATATGGATGACACACTCCCAAGTTTGGTTAGAGGCAGATCTGCACGCTGAGGCTGAGCTCCTCTCTTCAGAACACGCAATTTGGCCAAGGAGATAAAGAATTGCAGTGATGCAGGGAATATGCAGCAAGCCCAGGCAGTCAGGTTTTTCACAGGCAATTCTCAACTATGCCTTCACATCGATATTTCATTTCAAGCAGGGAGTCCGACATGAAGGCAATCCTGTTATTTCTGTTCTGGAAAGCATCCAGTACCTGATCAGCCTTCTAAAAAAGCAGTGGAGCTCAGCCATGGAGGCAGTGTATTAGCGCAAGCGGCGTGAATGTTGCTGACTTTGCGATCAGCAAAACCATAATGAGCTCCTTTTACCATGGGAATGGAATGGTCTTCCCGGAAAGCAGCCCTGCAAGCCCTCCTTATCAGTAGCACTGGAGGGACCCGTGTGGTGGCGATGTGTGGAACCAGCCTGCCAGCACTGAGTGAGGAGTTTCTCTGCTGAGAAACTGCTTCGAAGCCAGTTTATGACTCTTTGTTTCTTTTGGATGCTGGCAAAGCATCCTGCAGGTCCCGCTTCCTCCCTGCCCTGAGCAATGGTTGTTATTAAAATAGCTTAAAGGCATCTTAATGCCAGCCAGAGACTGGAGGTTCCTCTGGGAAGTTGGATCTTTAGGATTTCCAGGTCCATATATGCATGATGGACTCATAAATCCTGTTTCTTGCCTGCTGCCATCAGCGTCCCTGGGTGCTGTGGGACCCTTGGCTCGTGTTCAGCAGAATTTCCTCCATCCCATGGGACAATTTCCCTCTGTGATTTCCACCATGTCCGATCCTCCTCCCCTTCTCCCCGCTGCGGTCATCATTGCACAGAAGGTTCAAATATGGTCACAAGCAGACGTGCAAGGCAACACAAGGCACACTTACAGCAAGAGTGGTGACAACAAGGTGTGATCGCAGACCAACATGAAAACAGCCCCATGCCAAACTAAGTGCTGTGGGATATGGACCCCGTTTTCCTTCTGCTATGTCCTGCAACCTCCTAAGCAAAGCCTGGTGTGATCTAAAGTGCTTTCTCCCATGCGTTGGTGCATTGCTCACGTACCTCCTGGCAGGCTGATTGGCCCGCAGGCCTTCTCTTTGGGGTCTTGATTGTGCACAAAAATCCTCTTTGTACAGAGCCGCCATAGCCCAAAATGAGCCGCTTCGCAGGTGGTGTTGAAGTTCTCCACTTTGGGGCTCAGCACAGCCCAGTGGTCCGTCACTACGGCTGCAAACAGCAGCGAGATGCCCACCAGGATCACGAGGAACGTCAGCCGGACCTTCAGGGGTTTGCTCTCATCCATCCCGCTCCACAGCGGTGCTCCCAGCGGCTGATTCACGAGCGCTCCCCAAACCCCGGCTCATCCGAGCGCTGGGAAGTGTCAGCAGGGAGAGCGGGATGGCCACCGGCAGCTGCCGGGCTGTGTCAGCTGCGCAGGGAGGAGGCTATTAATGCACATGGGGAGAGCAGTGCCGGCGGAGCTCGGCTTTCTGCCCCGTCCCACCGGGATTGCTTTGGATTCCCACGAGCCGGCGGGGCGGGCGCTCGCTCCCAGTCGCTTTCAGCCGCTGCTCAAAGGCCGTAAACTCTGGACTTGCAGCATGCCCAGAAATAGGCATTAAGAGGACCATTAACTTGTGAGCGAGGTTACACAAACATCTGTGTTTATGCGAGGGCCGGGCCCGAGCTCAGCCTCATCCTGAACAGTTTAATAGCCCGGGAGCCCGCTCCCTGCACACCCGTGCCTTCAGCTTGGGACGGCCCCTGCAAGCAGCCCTGAGCTGGATGTCCCTCCGGAGCCCAGCACTGCAGTGTAAAGGAAGCAGCAAAATAAGCAAATAGCTTCATTTTCATCTCTGAGTACTGTATTTTTATTATTACCTTTATTACTATTATTATTACTATTTGAATTGCTTTTTATTTTTACAATTTTAATTATTTTAATTTTTATTAGTTCTCTTATTTTCCTTATAATTTTTTTACTAACCTGAAGTATTCTGAGTAGTTGGGGGGGTTTGTGTTTGTTTTTTTATTTATTCTTGCTTTTATTTCCTAATGCAAAACCTCTCCAGCACTCGCTTTCACGCCAGCCAGGTCTGCCTGCAATGCCTATAGTAACTCCAGCACCCACCCAGCACATCCTTTCCTTCTTTGAGAAGTGGCTTCTGCCCCCCTGAACCCAACCTCTCTCCTTCCCTTTGGTATTTCAGCTGATCACAAAGCTAATTTGATGATAATATCAGTGCAGAGGCCACTATGGAGGTGATGTTACCATTGCGGTGTCAAACAGAGGAGGGTTACAGTACCTCAGTGTTAAAGAAATGACAGTGGAATGCTGCAAATACCATGTGATCGTGTCAAGATAAGGTCAAAGCTCCTCCAGTCCTGTTTTATGAACACCCCAGTTTGATGTCAAAATTAAGGTGCAGTGGTGTTAGCTCAAATTAAAGAGGACAATCTGTGAAGCAAGGAGTTAAGTAGGAAGAGGAGTGTGGGAAAAGGGTAAGAAATAAGGAATAAGTTGAAACAGATTGACCCAAACTAACTGTATTGAAATAGGATTTCAAGGGGTTAACATTGCTGTATTTGATGTGTGGCAGGGTTTGATGTGGACACCCCTGGGGAGCAGGGGGATGTGTCTGAACCCAGGATAGCATCTGGTAACCTGGTCCTGCTGGGGATGTGGAGCCGTGGGCAGGAGAGAAGGTGTGTGGTGCAAAACGGAGGGGAAAGGGACCGGGGAGGGCAGTGGGGCCATGGGGCAAGGCAGTGCCTATCGACCACCGGCATGTCCGAAGGGAATTGCTCACAGCCTTGCGCAGGACTGTGATGTGCTGTGTTGGGGCTGGGAGAAAGATTACAGGCTTACTTTTAAATCAGAACCAAGAGTTCCCATAAAGTGGAAAAGCCCAAAGGGAGCAGCCTTTACTCCAGAAACAGAGCGCATTAAAAATGTAATGCTTTCTCTTTTGAAGTACTCTTGTTAGATATCACTTAGACATCAGTCGATCTTAGGAGCTGCAGCCTGACTCTGCTTCCTTGCTGCTACGAACCGCAGGTCCTCGCAAGCTGAGCGGAGGAAAGCCGGTGTGCGCTTGCCAATGTGGGCACAAAGCGAGGTTCTGGTTGCTGAGGAAGCAAGTGCTAACGATCCCACTTTAGACTCATTACAGCCTGCGAGCACTGCAGGGGTGGGAGCTCACTGATTTGTTTTGTCGGTGCTGGTCTTTGTGTCTCTTCCAGTATCGGCAAGAATCGCGCTTTTTGGTCTCATTTAGGTCCTTAGATCTGGGTAAGTTCCTCGGGTTTTGTTTCGGAAGTCCAGGAAGCAACTGAAGTGGGACCAGAAGGGAAGAGCTCATCCTCCCCAACCCTGCAGGGCAGAGCGGGGGGTGTGAATGAGCTGTGATGAGCTTCTACCTGAGCAGCAGGCTGAAAACTCCCATTACTGCAGTGGAGGTGAAACACTGTCCCCAGCCCAAATAAAGTGGCCTGCAGCCACCAGCCTATGGGACAGAAAGTATTTTGTATGGTTATTGCTCCCCATGGGCTCCGTGGGTTTGCTACACGAGCTGATGTAGCTGCATCACAGGGATGCTGCTGCCTCCTCTTCCCAGCATGGGCTCCATGTGGTTTTGGGGAATGTTGTAGGTGATCAGTGCTTGTGGCCCCTGTAGCTGCTGTGGTGAGAGCCAAAAGGTTCCTCTGCCGATGGGCTAAGCCTCTGTCCTCAACCTGTGTCCCCAGCCTCTGTCCCTGTGTGGAGGTGAAGATGCTCTCCCTGGGGCTGGTGGGCTCTGTGCCTCAGGTGGGCACCTGACAAATACAGAAGCAAACCTGATTTCTGGGGAGCAAAGGACCAAGAGAAACCCCAAAATTCTTCTGCATGTCCAGATCAGGATACCTAATCCTCTAGGAATGGTTCCTGCAGCCTCCCTGTGTCAGGCGGCAAGCATTCGCATCTAAAAATCAATATCCCATGAAATATAAATAGTCTATTAACGAGGACCTGTTGGGAAGCAAGGAGGGGTGTAATTAGTTGCACTTTATCAGCAGTGAGAGACACAATAATGTTGCTCTACTGGAGGTGTCTCAAGACCAACTCTTGTGTTATTTCTTCCCTAGCAGAGGCTCTGCTCCCCAGAATTTGCCCTTTTCTGTGTTTCTTCCAGACCAGCCTCAGTATTTACCACAACCAGGTTAACCAAACTCTATGGTTCCTCCTTGCAGAATGATGTTCTGCAGAAGACCCTTCCCAGGTGAGAACCCAGAGCCGATTACTCCCCGTCTGTTCTCAGCTCAAGTATTTACAGCAAACAGCTTCCTTCAAATGGGAGCTCCTTGGCACTGTTTGAGCTCCTGGGCCTGAATTGCTCCAGTGTGCAGAGACCACCATAACTGCAGTCATCTCTGCATAGAGGATACCTCAGAGTACCACCAATGGCACCTTCCAAAGGGAGGTGATGGATGCGCCATCCCTGGAGACATTCAAGACCAGGCTGGATGTGGTTCTGAGCAACCTGGTCTAGTTGAAGACATCCCTGCTCATTGCAAGGGGGTTGGAGCAGATGAACTTTGAAGGTCCCTTCCAACCCAAACTCTTCTATGATCCTGAAAGCTCCCTAATTCTGGGGCTGAAATCTTGCTGCCACTGGAGGCAACAGCAAAACGTGTGTGTTTCAGTTGGTTTTGTTTTCATTTGTCAATAGACACCCACGTGCATGAAGAAGAGACAAAATCCCGCACCCCCGAGCACAGCCTCTCGATGTGCCATCCCCGCAGCCCGTTGAGCACCCCACCACTGCCTGCACTGTGTCTGACCCACAGTTCTCTTCCAGTACGGAGCACCGTGCCCAGCGTGCTGGCTCGGTAAGTGATCCCTTTCACTGCGGAGAAGCTGTAAGATGAGCTCCTTTGCAGACAGGTGCAGAACACTCCTCATTCCCTTTTATTTTCAGCACCTCCCATGTCTGTTAGTTTTCTCATTCCAAGGAAATGCCACATCCTCCTCACCGGGCTATTTTACCACTTACTGAAGCCCTGCATTTTGCTTCCCCCTCAAACAACACGATGCTTTGATACATCCCCGTTCACAGCAAGGCAGCCGCAGCTCTTGGGTCACTATTTACCCACAGACTTGCTCAGCAATGTGGGATAAACCTTTATTTTAGTTCAAGGGAACCAGCTTTGGGCTTGAGCTTTAAATGGCTCCTGGGGTTCAGAGGCATTTGGAAAGGTGAATCCCTGCCTCCCTCCAGACACGCTGGTTGATCATATGCATGGGGAGATGCTGATATACACAGACAGTGTTCATCTGTAACAACAATCTGGAGGCTTAGGAACTTGGAAGGTAAAGTTAAATGAAGTATTTTAAGAAGAAATAGTGTCTGTAATACAGGGATGGTTTGGAATGTCTGGGAGCAGCCGGGAGTTGCTGTACTGCTGGTTTTATGGTGGTGATCAGATAAAGGCTTTTGTGGAGCTTCAGCACACAGGGTTGAGCTTTCTTAAGGCAAAAATGGACAAGATCAGGGAGAGGAGGATGCTTGGAAGTGAATTCATATAAAAAGTGGAGGCAAAGCACAGGGTTAGGGCTGGCATTTCAGGAGACACTGGCTTATTCTTCTTGATGGTGGTTTGCAGTGCCTCTGGCCACTATACCACTCCCAAAACAGGCACTGAAACCAGAGTGTGTCACATATGGTCCAAGCTTAAGCTGGAAACAGAAGGTTTTTCTTAGTTTCTAACCCAAATACTGTGAAGATAGCTTATCTTGGTGGTCTGGGGGACCACAAGAACAGTTTTCTCTCCTTTAATATATTGGCTTCTAATAACATTCCCAGCTGCAATCAAAATAGAAATGTGGAAACAATAAACACAGAAATCTCAGCTCAGAGAATCTGGAAGTTCAAAGTCTATATACCTTTCTCCACACAAAAAATGCATACATTTAAAATGGTTTATTTAAAAAGTAAGGATTAAGTACATTATACATGGTTGTGATTATACCAGTAGAACTGAAACACAGTGGAAATAACACTTTCAAACTGCAGACAGAAAGGTAACCTCAAGGGACGTGATATATTAGCCCTTGTGGATATGTGATCCATACAGAAAGAAAAGGAACTATAAAAATAGTTTACTGTTAGATGTACGGGCACATGAAGTGATTTCTCCTTTTACTCCTATTGTATATGAGAAACTAGGAAGAGAGCTGATGATATACCTGAAACTTTGTTTCCTGGAAAATAGAGCCTGATCCCATAGCATTTATTATTTAGGTCTGCTCTTGCAGTATGTTACAGGATAATGCCAAAAGGCTGACTTTTGTGTTAATGATGTGATGATATCTGCAGGCCTTGTTGAGAAAAGGGGGCTAATTTGTTCGATGCTGTCCGGGGAAACCAGAGAGATGTGGAAGAACAGATGATTTTTATTCATATCTAACTATCACTGAGTGGTTCCGAACTCTGAGCACAATCTTCTGCTTAGACAGATCAGCCATGGAGCAAGACACTGCTCATGGGCAGGAATGATGTGACTTTTTCAGTGGCGTCAGAATCACAGTTTTCCACTGGAAAAGACTGATTTGGGGGGGGGATTTTTTTTTAACTGGAATTGTTCAATGAAACAACTTTCTTTTTGCTTTGATTAAATTACTATTATTAGCTAAATTATTGTTAAATATTTAATTATTATTACTGTGCCGAAAGTTGACATAGACCATGGGTTTTAAATCTCAGCCCCCATTCTCCCACAGGAGGAAAGCTCTGGTCCCTGTACCTTTGCTCCCTGTCTGTGCGCTGTATCCCATGAGCATCCCATGAATACTTGCTCACTCCATCTCCATTTTCAAAGGTGGTTTCTGGAGAGGGACTCAGACTGAAGCAGGGCATCGTTCTCAGAGAGCTGCTGAAACCAGCCCTGCTCTGAGGAGGAGGCTCTGGCAAAGAGGAACATCCCAAAACACTTGGTAAGACTCTTTTGTTGTCATGGTGTAAAAATACTGCATGTGCCTCTGCAGGTCCAACCCGGGCTGTAGGGAAGCCTTGGCCTTTGGCTGGAATCAGATGGTTGGTTTTAAACACATTCACTGGAGAATGATGATTAAAAGAACAAAACCAACGCGCGAAGCAAACCTCACACTGTCAACTTCCAGTTCAATGGACATGAGCTTAGAAAAACAGCCTATATCTAACTCCTGGTTTTAAAGGGAATGGTTTTATTCTTAATTACAGTAAACACGAATGAGGACTTATTTCTAACTATTAGTTTTATTAACACAGTGGGAAACAAATAGTTCTGGGAAATTGCACTTGAAAAATACATCGACTATAATTAGATGTAAATTAATTAGCACTTAGTATGACACACTAATGAGACAGAAGGTTGGTGTTTTGTTTTCATTGCAAACTTCTACTTCTATCATAGCTAATCAAAGTATTTGAACATTACGAAGTCTCAAAAAGTAGGAAATAATTTATTGTTTGAAAGCATAAAGATTCTTGTAAAAAAAACCTTTCATCAAGAACTTTAATAATTTTAGAACTCTTTTTTGTTGTCCTAGCCGAAAAGTAGGTAAAAAAGTTTTCTTGTCTGCTTCTGATTTTTTTCTTTAAAAAGCTTGTGTAACATCTCTCTCCATCGTGTGTTGATACAGAAAGTAGCACAACATTTTCTACTTTTCAATTGTTCCCATCCCTCCATTCACTTCAGGTCTCAGAGTTCAGAGGTTTGAAAAAGGATCCCAGCAGAGTTTTAACCTGAATGGAAACTCTTAATAAGCAGGGATGAAGGCTCCAACCCACCTCAGCCAAAATAACCATGTTGCTCTGCCAGGCTGAGGGCGAGGCAGAGCTTAACAGCTACTAAGGGAAGACTTTAGCTTACATTTGAGACTTGTGTCTTGGTTCTTGCAAGGAGAGAGGCTTAAGCAGGGTTTACCTGGAGGGGAGAAGGGATTCAACTTGCTTTTTAGGTTGTTAAGGCAGCTCCTCCGGGATTTCCCTGGAGCACTTGGTTCCACTAGCTGAAAGCCTCATATCCAAAACACCACGTAGTCACTGATGCTGTGGCCATTGCAAGATGAATTAAGACTAAAGAGGTTTTAACAGTTTGGCTGAGCTCTCCCACTATCAGTGAGCCACGTTTTCCAAATCATGACTTTTTTTTCTTGTCACTTCTCTGGTCTTCTGGCCAAAGACGATGGGTATATAATCTACAGGAATTAGATGCTCCTCTCTCACTGCACCTAATTCATCCAAGGGGAATTGGGCACCTCATTCTCATATGGCTTGGTTGAGTGGTCACTAAAATTAACATGAGTACTATTAAATTAAATTACCTTTGAGTCAGGCCCTTGAGCTTTGAGATTCCAAGCCTATGTGTAAAAAACATGAAAGCAGGAATTTGAAAGAAAAAGGATATTTCAGACTTTTTTAGAAACATACAGAAGCGAAGGGTACAAATCAGTTCCCCCTTAGGTGATGCATAGAGTTGTCTGTGGGCTCTCTGCACGTCAGTAGATTCACCATTACAAAATAAATAAAATTAGACCAAACCAGACCATCATTTCCATCTAAAAGTAACTATACCTTGCACCATGCGGCACTTATTCATAATAAAAAGAGTTTAATAAATATCTCATAAACGGTGATTATTTTTGTTCTGGTTTAAAAAATACAAAGTTGTCATCCGTTCTGTTAACACTCAGTCCCCATTGCTGCAGGAAGTTTTGCTAGTCCGAACATATTAGCTTCTCGTTTTCTCACGCACATTGCTTAGGTATCTTAGTTTCCAGTAGCGTTAGTGTTGCACTTGTGAAGCAGTAAGGAAAACAGGAATGCAGTCGCAGGGAACCGGCCACCCTGGCTCAGCTCTGCTTCTCACTCTTGCTGTAAGTAGTCTATAGGGGCTCCTGACAGACAGCACTCAGCACCTTGCCAGATCAGGCACTAGGGCTAGTCGAAATGAGAATTCAAGTTTTCTAAATGTTAGGCAAGAAATGATATTTGCAAATATGCTCAAGTCCCACCTACTTCAATCCTTCCCCTTTTAGGTGTTTCAGGATGCACCCACCCTCTTCTCCCCTACCTGCATTGCCCCGAGGGACGACTTACACCAGAAATGGGAGACCCCCTTACACCCCATCAGGGAGTCTGTAATGCTCAGCATGCGGGTGCTCTGCGGCTTCAGTAGCACAGGTCAGTTTTAGAAAGTGTTGCCTTCAAAAATATTCCCTTTTTTTTCTTTTTTTTTCTTTTTTTTTTCTTTTTTTTCTTTTTTATTGGAAAGAGGCAAAGCTTACGCTGCATCAAAGGGAAGTGGCTCACTTGAGGAGCAGTTCATATTCATCCTTGGGCTTGGTTATAAATTACATTTGCAAGTTCGTACTAAGGGATCTCAACATTAGAAAAAAAGAAGAAGTACGACAATTTCTCTGTAATCCTTTAAAACACACTGGTGGCCAGTCCTTTGCAGTTTCTCCACGACTTTGTACACACTACAGAAGTGCAGCAACATGAACCACCTTCATCTTGTGACACCAAGAACTGAAAGAAATGAACTCCAAATAGCTTCAAAAAAAGCTACGAGCGTGTGATATCATTATGTTGGTCCAGAGGATCTCCACTTGCTACCTCAACACATGCCACAATTCTAGAGGTGAGAGGGTATTTTAACATCGCTCCTTCTCGCTCATGACCGATCCATTCTGTTTCGGTATTTCTTCAAATAGCATGGGAAAGGAGGGTGCTTCAAACAGGCGTTGTTCTCCTGTTGACCATGTTGACATGGAGTCCTTCCTTAAACTCCTTCTGAAGGAAGTTGTGAACCTGCAGAAAACTGGCTTCTTGGTCTGCGTTGTAGCTGGCAGCGGTTGTAACCTTCAAAGGCTCTCTGGAAAGAGTGTACATGGAAATCTCATTCATGGGAATGGTGCTTGCTATCTTCATGCCAACTGGAGAAATGTCTCTAGATGGAGAAGGTTCTGTAGACCGAGAACTGGATCTGGACCTCCGCCTCCTGTACCTGTAACTTGGCATCCTGGCATAAGGAGAACTGGAAGAAGTCTTAAGGAATTCCCTCCTGGTCTTAAACCTCAGCTCTTTGTTCTTCTCAATATAAATGTTCACAGCCAGAACACCTATGGTTTCAGCCACGATGAAAGACAAGGCTCCAAAATAAAAAGACCAACCATAGTTGTAATGGTTCTTTTTGTCCTCATCTCGCTTGTCACTCGGGTCACCTGTGTTGCTTGATATGTAGACAATGATCCCTATGATATTACTTAGTCCTAGAGACAGAAAAACATAAATCAGTGGTTATGCGCCTGGGAAGAGAAAACTCAAGCCACGGTACTTTCTGGACCTGAATAGTTCAAAGAAATTTTATTACATTTATTCACTCTTCCATTTATCTCAAGATTTTAATTATTCTTGAAAAACAAAGAACAGATCCACATCTTGGTCACATACGCTTGCATGGATCCCAAAATGCTCATCAGGATTTGTTCCCACCTCTTCATTGCCACCGTGGGAAAGAAGTAGCCTATGGGAGCTCGCTAATACTGTTAGTGGGATTCTAACATTCAGGATAATAATAAGAATACATTTGGAGCTCAAGGCTATGGCTGTTCACCTTGATCAAGATAAGTTGTCTTCCACCTTGCTGAATTTTCATCTATATGCAGCGTGCTTAATCCCAGCTTCAGGGAAAGCTATTAGCAATGTGGATGACTCTCTCCGATGTTTCTAATGTGAAAAATGGGCTCACCTATCACAGGTGAATATTTTCTGCCATCATAGGAAAGAAGAAGGCCCTGGATGTAAGAGGTGCCTGATTCATCTAATGTTTAATACGTTTTTAATAGTGCAAAACCTGCTTGTTACTGAATTGAGCCTTCTTTTGCAGGAAAGCGAAAAGCTTTTCTAGAATATACTTATTCTAGAGCTTCAAAACATGATTTCGTCTTGAACAATTTGCCCAGTGTGATGCTGTTAGTGCCCCCAGTCCAGAAAAGGGGTTTATATTTTATATGGCAGGGAGAGAACTACCAACAAGGTTTTCCACAGTCCTTTTCAGTTTAAAAAGGCGGCACTTAAGGACTCAATTTAAGGGAACATACCTGCTGCAACAAAGAGAATCCCAGCACTGAGAATAATGTTGTTTTTGCTGTTGTAAATCCTTCCTGCTCCGACACAGAGTCCTCCCAGCAACAGCAATATTGTGCTCAGGATGGGGAACACACTGGAGGCACGGACAATGCCTGGAGGGGAGATAGATAGGGGGAAAACCAAGACAGACAGTAATCATTTCAGATGCCTCCTCGAGTGCAAGTACAGAGCTTACAAAGTCTCAAAGCCTTTTCCTTTTGCTGGAATTATCACTGATTCTGCATTTCTGGGCACATTTTTGGGAGCCAAGGCCATGGGTACGTGGTCAATGTGGCACAGACACTCTTCACTAAATAGCTTAAATCTCTTTCTCCTAGAACATCCAGAGTTACCACCATTATTTGAAGCCACCATGTACAGAGCATCTCTGGCAACGCATGAGGTAAGCGACAGCATCACGCAGGGAGCAGCAGTGAAAAATTCATGAGCTGGCTACGAACCCTACATCTGGGGCTGGCTTCAGCAGACAGATCCCTTCCGTGATACATGCACAAGGTGAGCAAATTACAGCTCTTGAAGTCTGCAGCGTTGGCATTGCCAGCGAGCGCAGCTAATAACCCCTTTTTCTGTAGTTGAATACCGAGGCTGTTGGAACCTTTCAGATTGTTAAGGGAGACATTTCAACAAGTGTGTCTCGGATGTTTGTGTTTAGTTTCCTGACAGCTAAGTAGAGCCATTTAAAATTCCGTGTGCTTCAGCCCATTCACCAGAATGGGCTATAAAACCCCTGGAAAAAAAGATTTAAAACACCACTTCAAGCCAGCTTTCAAAGTCGGGGTCACTGCAAGACCAAGCAGCGATCGCAAGGGAAGTGGCAGGGAGGGAACAAAAAGGCTGAGAGAAAAATAAACAAGCACAAGGAGAGAGATGTCTGTATTGTAAAACCAAAGGGGTGAAGCCTGGTAGGCGTCCCTGAAAGGCAGAGCGAGGAAATGAGTTATATTGTTGTAGAGAGAGAGGATTTTGTTGAAGAATGGGAGATAAGGTGCTGAATACTGCTGTGGAAAACACGATTGCCCCAAAGCTGAGGACAGTGGAGAGGCAAAGGCGCAGAGGGGAGTCCCATCAGGGTGAGCGGGTGCATGGGCACGGGGCCAGAGGCTGCTGCCACAGGGCTGGGTGCACGGACAGGAGCAAACCTCCATCTGGCTGGATCTGCTGCTGTGGTGCCATTCCCAGCGTGTGCTTTCCCGGGTGCCATTCGCAAGCAGTGCCCGCTTCCCAAGGAGAATCAGCCAGATGTTACAGCTGATGCTTTCCCATTTTACTTTTGATGGCCGCGGCGTTCCCAGTTCAGTGAACTGCTTCCTAACGATTCCCCTGGTAACCGGTGGCAAAACTCCCACTGACTGCAAAAGGGACAGGGCTGGGCATTTAAAGTGCTTTTGTGAGTGATGCAAAGCCCCCCCCCGGGAACCCCAGCTACGGTCCCAGCCCTCATTAGGATGGTGCAAACGTAAAGCCAAAAGGACAGTCCCAGCCTGGGAAGCTTATGCCTGTATCGATCTGCACCAGTGAGAAAGGTCTGTCTCCTACCAAACCCGGCAATGTCGCTGCACGTGTCCTTTACAGACAGGGCATTTTCTAACCGGATCTAAACCCAATTCAGTCGATGCATTACTATTCAGACAGTGTCTTGCAATAACTGGCAAATCCAAGCAATGAGGGTGTAAGGTTTCTAATCAAAGCCTGTTGAGTGGTGAGAGCCTGTTCTGTTGTCCTGGGTGTATTCCCACGTGTGTGGTATGAAGTAATGGTGCTTTGACCTTTGGGTCAGTTTTTAAAGTCAATTATTAGAAACAGATTCAATGTCATCTCTGTGCTGCTGGACATGAAGGCACCCCAAATCACTGTCTGTTAGTATCCTGGCAAAGGACAGCATGGCTTTAAAATCTACTGTGGCCCACCCTTTCTGGCTGTTGTTTCCCCTGTTTTATGGTCATGCTATTTATAATGGTTTCAATTAAATCAAAGAGCTTTCCTAAAATGCTTCAGTGATATCATCAGCAGGAACTTGCCAGACATGCCAAATATAGGGAGAGGGCTGTTCTACTTGTAGCAATAATCTCCAGAGATGATTTTTCTACAGTAGAATGAATATGAAGAGAAAGAAAATCAATATGAATTAATTTTATTCATATTTATTTGTAATTAATTGATATGGAGAGAAAGAGAATGCCCAGTGTTCTCTTCTTGTAGAACTCTACTGTATATTTTTTCCTACAATGTGTAGCTCTGGTATTTAAAAGGAAGCTCATAGGTACCATGTAGAATTTGCATATGGCTCCTGATACTGGCAATAAAACGACAACACACCAAAACCCATTAAGGCAGTCTGATGTTTGCTTTCTCCCCTGCTTTCTTTTCCTCTTGTTTACCATCCTGTCTGTTTACATCGGCTGCTCTGCACTGCTATGCCTTGTGACACCTCCTTCAGTGGTGCGCTGCAGCGTGCTGTGCTGCTCCTCCCCATGGGGCTGTGAGCCCCCGTGCTCTGCTCATGCTTTTATTCTCCTCCAAAAGGCAGGAGCCAAGCAAGCAGCTTTAAAAAGGGGATTCTATAGCATATGGGAAAGAAGTGTGGACATGCCCTGGAAATGGGGTCCCTCTCCTCACTTTTGCATCGCAGCAGTGAGGATGAGTATGGCTGAAATCCAAAATGGGATTTTTTTAGACATCCCAGTTGGTGTGTGTTGTCGTAAGGAAGGTTCAACAGGAGGGGTCTTATGTGAGCTCTTTTGCACGTGTTGGTGGCCACTGTGGCTGCTGCTCACTTAGTTTAGCCTGAATGCCAAAGGGTAAAATCTAAACTCCTGCTCCTATCCATACCCTGGACCAAAGTCTCCTAAAATTGGACTTTTTCACTGATTTCAATAGGCTTTTGAACCAGTGCCTGATTCTGCTAGCACCATGATGTTTACATTTATCTCAAGCCTCTATTAGAGTGGTCACTGTGGAGCAGGCTGAGACCTCTCATGCTGCTCTTTCAGGAGCACCAGATGAACATGGCATTAGACCATTTATCTAAGCCAGACAGGAGCAATAAGGATTACCCTCACCGTGGCCCTCTGAGAAACTTGTGCCAAAAATGGCTGAAGAACATGGTGAATGATACAGAGACTGCAAAGGTGTTGCACAGAGGGCAAAAACAGGACGGAACGTCTCACGTCTCCTTTGAAACAGGATGCAAATATCCTCTTGTCTTAGACAATGATTCGATCCCTATTACATGTACATATGAGCTCATCTCTTCTGGATTTAGATACATAGCCTTTTAGTAATCTCTAAATCAGCTGTATGCATTTTAAGTGGTGCTTCGGTTTTTCCTACAAGAGTTAAGCAGAGGGGCCCTGTTATCTGTGCAGATGATGTGAGGATGAGCTCTCCTCTGTGGGGCTCATTTTGCAGAAGACATAAAAGGTTGGACCAACTTGTTTTTAAGATCTGTACTGAGTCACTTTGGAAAACAGCTTTTAGGAACACCCGTCACAAGCACACTTACAACCAATTTACCAATCTCATGTCTTACTGCAGAGCTGTAGACTGCTTTTCCCAGTTCTCCCTTCTCTCCAAATCAAGAAGGCATAATACACTTTTATCAAGATGCTACTTAATTCCTCTTTCCTTTACAGGCCTTTTACTAATGATGTTTGTTTCTTAAAGCTGACTTGGCATCCATTTAACATTAATTCCAAGTCTTTCTATGAATGATGAATGCAGCTGTGCTCACACTGTGCTGCTGCCTTCGCCTGATCACTGAAATCATGACACCCAAGCGCTATGACTGATCTAAATCGACAAGAGTAAAGAGCAAAAACTCTGGGTTTTCTGGTAAAGTGTCCCTTTTGGAGATTGATTTTCTTCTCTTGTTGTAACTAGGATTTGTTTCCCAGAAGGGAGCAGAAGGGCAGAGTGGTTCTCTCAGTGGTGTTTCAGGTAATTAATAGCAGTGTAATTGAGAAGTGTTTTGACTTGCTGGGTGTCTCAGCCATCAGCTCATTCATTGCTCCCTAAAGCTTTCCCAATGCCTTGTGAACTTTCTTGGTAAAGGGCACTGCTTTCAGCTTGGCTGGCCAGCTCAAAGGGAACAGTGAGGCTGGGCATCATCTGGGGAGTGGGAAATCCAACTCAAACTCTGCAGGTTCCAAGACTTCCCATCAGCTGAGTGAGTGGTCATCTGGAGGAGCTGAAATGATTGCCCTTATTTCAAACACCAGGCTGGTGGATGAAATGACTTCCATAGTAATTCCATGCACAGAGCAGCAATGGCTGGCTGTCCATGCAAGGAAGCCACAGCCCATGCTCATGCTGAGATTTTGCTGTTAACTGCAGAAATTTCAGCTTCCTTCCTACAATGCAGTAATTTCACTGCAGGGGGAGGTGGCTCAGCAGCTGGAAAGGATGAGGCTTGCATGAGGGTTGGGCTTAAGCATTAGGAAATGCTTAACCTACTCCTCAAACTAGTTTTGATACCCTAATCAGATAAATAATCCCTCTGTAAAATGCCCTTACCAGTCTGGGAATGATGGCTGTAGTTTTCATTTGGAAATTTTCCATATATTTAGAGAATGGGCACTACCAGTGGAAGGAAACCCTTGAAATGGGGTCCCCATTGTCATGGTTGTGTCAGGGGCAGTGTGAACTGGGCATCCATCACCACTGCTCTGTACCACCCAGTTTGGGCCAGTCTCTTGCAGTGAATAAGACTTGCTTGATTCCACTCTACACAATAGAAACCCAGAAACATCTCTCTGGCCTCTGTATTAGGTATTACTTTTCACTTACGGAGAAGGTATTCTGAGCTGTCATGGTCATAGTCATTGTCTTCAGGGAAATGGTTGATTCGGAAGCAATGTCCTTTGTAGATTCCTAAATGAAAAGAAAGCAAATGTAACACATGAGGAATAGAACCAGGTAAATGTGCTTCTGCCAGCTCTGCTTTGTTCCCTTTTCCTCCCAAGTTATGTTAGTGAATTTTTCTCCTGTAGTGTTGGTCACAAACCATCTCTCAGGTCAGATTGGGCTGAAGCCTCACTGAAGAACGGGAGAGCCAGGATTTCTGGGCTCTTTTCTTCAGTCTGCCCCTAATATAGTTCTCTTGAGATGTGAAATCTCTCTGTGCTTTATCAGCACTGTGCTTATCTTAACAAGCACACTGAGTTTGCAAAGCTTCTTTCTGTTCCTAGAGTGACTGTCGCTCTGGGTCCCTGCTCTGGGATGGTGTCCACAGCAAAGCCAAGTACCAGTCTAGCACACATCACCTCTCCTGTCTCATCCCCAGGGAAGTGCTGGCTTCCCTTATCAGAACTGGCAATTGTTGAACTGTCTGAGGACTCTTCAGTTACTCTCTCAGCTTGGAAAACAAGTCCATAAATCTCTTCCTGCTCCAATTTAAACCCGTACGTCCCCCTCAACATTGGCTCAGCTTTTAATGGTGTATTTGTTTAGTTAACTGGTAGCCTGTGCAGCAAGTCAGGTGTGCACTCCTGATACCTGAAGGAACAATACCAGAGTTGGTTGGATGAACCCCTCGCTCAACTGAACAAGATAAGGTTCAGCACTTTGTCCATCTGGATAAAGCTTTACATTAGTATTTTGCATTATCTTCTATCACAGTTATCCATGGCCACATCCAGTCTTAGCTGCTGTTGGGTAGTTGCACTGCAAGCTGCACGGGGACCTCTCCCCAGAGAGCTTATTGCAGGAGTGAAGCCCCAAGGTGTGATTCTGCCTTGGTGCTTTCATTATTCATTAACCAGCACTTTCATGCCCAGGAACATACATCACCCAGGATGAGTTATCCTCTGCACAGGGGTTTCGGTGCTTACAGCTCGAGCTGGCAGAAGGATTTAAAAACCTTCAGTTAATACCGCTTTAACAGAAGCACAGCTGCAGTCTGGAGGATATAAATGTGGATTTATTTCACTACCTATTACCAATGATTACAAAGATCTCAAAAGAATTACTAATCCAGAGGATTTAAATTGCACCCTGCGAGTGTCAACTGCAGGTTTGCTACTACAGCGCGTTTTAATTCTTCCAGTAAAAGATGTATCTACTCTAATTGCGGTAACGGCTCAGGCTTTCTCTGCACAGCACTTCAAAGGCTGTGCACAAGAAGTGAGTGGCTCATGTCACATCTGGAAGCGACACACCTGCCCCGTCTGCAGGCGGAGGAGAGCCCTTCAGCTGGGGCTGCTCCTGCTAGGCGCATTGGTCCGTGCATCCCTCTGCCATCAGCTGGTTTGTCACTCGCTACGGCTCTCCAGCAAGGCAATCCAAACCCCAGGTTTTAAAGATCCCACTGCTTGTTTTTATGGCAGTTCACACAATGAAATTAAATCGCTCCCAGCTTAACAGGGCCTGTGAGGTTGGATGGTCATTTGTTTGAGCCTCTTCATTATGGTGTGCTGGTTTAGAGGGAAGACATTCAGAGTATGATTTTTATCCTCTTGTATTCAGTAAGGAAAAAACAAATCTGAATCATGTTCTCACCCCGATTTCCCATGAAATAGGCTTTTCAATGACTCCGTGCTTGTGTGTGTCTGGTGGGGCCATCTGTATGTACTTCTGTGTGTACTTTATATACATACAGTCTGTATGTACTTCTCCAATAACTTTTAAGGTAGTTGGTTGTATTTATCTACAGCTGATAAAAAAGTAGAAGTATCACAGGTAACTGAGCTCCCACAACAGGATGATACACGAACGAGAAAACTCTGTCCATTGAAAGCTGCTTTGTGAACTTGCGCATTCACAGCATGGACATGAGCTACAGCCCAAATAAACGTTCTACTTCCAGAAGCTCAGTTAAGAGGCAAGAAGTCTGCAAGACTGAAATGTTCCCTAAGCCCCTTCTGTTTGCAGCACTGATGGATTGATGGAGGGTTCTGGTCTCTGTGAAATGGCCTTACATTATTAAACTGCTGGATGAAATGGGCCCCTCAGCAGAAGTTTCTCTTACGCGGAGGCCATGAAGCCATCCCTTCCTCCACAGGACTGAAATGCATCAGCAGGACAGGATGGGCTGGTATTAGCAGTGTCTGGGCTATTCCTCTCTTATGGTTCGAGACCTTCATTTCCTGATGCTTATATAAGCCTAGCAGAGATGAACAAAGAGTTTAATTAGCCCCAAACAGAAAATTGCAGATGAGCGTGAGGTTTCTCTTCTATTTCCAGTTTTTAGGAATGCTGTGGTTGATCGTTCTGGCCAACTTTATGCAGAAACAGCAAATTACAGTGAAATTTGGACCTGTATCAAAGCCTGGGAATCCAAAATATTCTTCCCAATATTTTTGCTATAGATCAGGTCATAGATGCTGGCTCAGGGTCCTCTCTGGTGTCTGTGGTATTTGATACCTAATAACAGCAGCAGACTGGGTAAATTTTTCCATAAACTTAACAGGTATCATATAGCTGCAGCAGCTTATTAAACTTTCAGTGAGGCTTGAAGGTGCTATCATGAACTCTGGTGATCTGCAGGGTACTGAGGGCTTTTTTAATCCATAAAGTATCAGAAACAAAGGCTTGCTGAGAAGTACAGCAGTGCCTTTCTTTTTTTCATCATGATGGACTTTTTGAAACTTAGATTGGAGAAATACTAAAACTAGCAGGGTGGAAGCTACTGGAGCATGATCAGCTTTAACAGCACAACAGCAGAGCCTGACTTGTACTTAAACACAACAAATCAAACCAAACCAAAACAGATCTAGTGAAATACCTGGCTCCGTGCCCTAGTGTGTAAAGCAACACCAAAGAATAAAAGTCAGGAAATAGAAGAGGTGGAAACACCTCAATTAAATTCAGTAACAACCATTCTGCAGCATCTGCACCAGATCTGAACTCATTGAAGCTCTCCTCAAAGGCTTCACAGAGGCTGCCTCAAGGAAATGTGCAGACAGATGTGGTCGCTGGTCCATGCTCACTCAGGCACACACGGGCCATTTCCCACACCAGAATGTGATATGAAGAGAGATGTTCTTTGCTTGAGTACGGGGATACAGTCCCTTATATCCTTTGGAGAGGGAGATGGAATATTTAACTTCTACTGATGTACCCACTAGAGAGAGATAAATAAACTGCACTCACTGCCTAACAGATACTAAAATATTGAGCAGCACTTCTGGATGCCTCTTGAGAGTAAGATGTAATACCCCACTGAGATGCTGTAAGTATTACTCTTTTCTTTGAATGATTACTGATATGTTTTAATGATGCTTTTAGAAATACAAATATAATGCTTTTTTCTTTCTCATAATAATAATAACAACTTTGTTCTGAATTTTGAGCTAGGAGTTCAGGATCTGAGTTAATGATAATGAAGAGGCAAATTTCCTCAAGTGTTGCTGGTGGTGTAAGAGTACTTTTTTCCCACTGGTTGCAGCATACATAGCTGGCATTTAGAACCTTAAAATTGGTTCTGACTCGGCCTTACTCTGTGTTCAAGGGCTCCTCCAAAAAGGTTAGTACTTCCCAAGCTCACTAAGTGTTGTTCAGATAACTGTAATTAGAGTGTGATGTATTCCAATAATGTGATAAGGGAGGGAATCGTAGTGCCTAAGTGAAGATTTAGCTTTGTTTTGGGGTTTGAGATCTCAAAGTACAAAGAGTTTTCAACAGTAAATCAAAGTAGTGATCCCAAATTCTGATGACATACTGCCACCTCCTTGCTCTTTCTCAAATAATCCTTCAATAATCTTGCCTGTACCATTGCAGAATGGCTCACTGGGGTTTTATTTCTTGACAACTGATGGTTAATGCTGTAGGATGCAAGTGCTTATTAACTTTGTTTGTGGCCATGTGTTACATGTTCACGTTGTTATTGGCCATACCATCAGCCTTTTCCCATGGTTAATATTTATCAATGACAACATTCCTTGATGTCCTGGAAGTGTTTGCACAAATCAGCTCTGGAAGATAGAGCCTTTAAATGTCTGGCAGTATTTGTCAAGGCAGGCTGTACTTTTGTTTTCTCCCTCCCTTATCCTGAAACCTACATACAACAAGATCTTTCCATAACGTTAGTGTTGTGTTCTGATTTAAAATAGGTTTCCACCATGCAAGAAGCTAGCAGCTTTGCAGCAGAGGACCTTGTCTGCAGGGTACTTCTGTCAATAGCAATTTTCGTCTCCTTGCTCTGAGCACGAGCTTACGGGAGGCGATATCTGATAGCAGTGGGAGACACATGAGGATAGATGGGTCAAGCTGCTGCCTCTTTCTCCATCAACAGCTTCTACAGAGCTGTTGCTAGATTAACTATTTCATCTTCCAACCCTCTCACCTGCCCTTGGTAGTGAATCTATGCAGTAAAATATCAGGTTTAGGACTTGGCTGGGAAACCTTTCTTGTTTTCTCATGAGACATTTGCAACCTCCTTGGATCAAACTCTCCCCTGCCAGCACACCACGTTCTTGTAATTCTTGAGCAGCTATAGATACTTAGTGAGCACACGTGCACACTATTAATAGAGTTAAACAGAGTTTTCTCCTGAGAGGGGTTATACTGGTGGAATGAGGGCTACAAATGTCAGCTGCAGAAGTAGTTGCATGGCTAGAGCAATTACCTGCAGGCAGGTAAATACACCCAATAACTATAGCCTAACATCCCACTAACCAGCGGATTTCTTTCTGGCAAATATGGGCCTTCTGGGATGGTACAAAGATGTGGAACGAAATGATCTTTGCTTGCAAATACAGGGAATGCAAGTTGTAAGGAGCTGACTGTATATTAAGAATCAGGCAATTAGTATGGAGCCATTGGGAATTTGGACCCAATGGTTCTGCTGCTTGCATCTATCTTGTGATCGAATGTTGTGCTTCAGTTCCAGAGCCAACCATTAGCCTGATTTACTGCAACAACACTTGAATATC